AGGAAGGGAACATTTGCTCTAAGGCTCTCAATAGCTCTTGATAACTTTTGTACATCTCCAAGTCGAGTTTACGTAGATAAGGAGCTCCATCTGCGCTCACTTTTACATACTTTCTGCTGCTTTCCACCACCACCAACGACTTCTGTCTCATCGATCTTACCGGCGGCCACCCAGCTATTCTTGCTCTGAATATCAGAACCCCAAATACGCAGTTCGTCAGATAAAGCTGAAATGAAAATGTCGATAAACAAACGGCTAAACAAGTAGTTATGATTTAGTCAAATTTTGACATGGATATATAATTCTCGAAGTACAATTTAAAAACTGAACGATTTGATATCACACTTTTGAACTACCGCATGTGCGAAACAACATATACAAGTTAAAACAAAATCTTAACTTTGCAGCTGCGGCTTTGATGACGGAAGTAGTTGTAGAACTACTGGTACTAGATGATGAGCTGCCACGTGGCTCGCTGGCGGTAGAGCTTTTCTGCAGGCTAATCTGATCAATGGTATCCATGAAACCACGTTTCACCGAGCTGCTATTAGTACTACTTATCTTGAAGTTGAACCCTCCAAAGACACGAGGATGGTTGTAATCTGACGTCGTACCAGGTAACCCTAAGGTGAGCTCAGTGTCCTTAAACTCCATGCTTTCATTTGCTGACATCATCTTTCCGGCCGGCCAGCACTGTGTGAACGTGTGTAGGTTGTTTGCTTTGCTGTTAAATATATAGAGAACAGGAGGGGAGGCGGAGGTAGAAAAATTCAATGGCACGAGGGGTGGCGAAAAAGGAAAGGCCACGAGGGGTGGCGAATAAGGAGAGGCCACGTGGGGTCCGGTGCGGGAGCACTGCTTGCGGTTGACATGCATGGCTTGACAGTAGCGCGCAGCTTAAAAGTTTGTGCCGGCTGTCGGTACATCCAATCGGATTCTGTTTCTGTCACTCTACATGATTACTAAATTTACCATATTGCTTAGCCTGTCTATTTCTTGGTATGGTTATATGGGGAAATTTCACATCATCGATAGTACCTAATTGGAGAAAATTTTGTAGGCAATATAAAGATAAGTTACAAAATCTTGTAGGCAATATAAACGCAAGTTACATGGTGTATTCTTCTCCATATTATAAAGACACGTGTTATAATTTGAGTAAAACAGTAATATTACGTAGTCATATTCTAAGTATTATTCATGCTAATTGTTGTGCAGACATATATAATTCATTAGGATCCTCCAATTAGCATATCCTAATCCTCTTGTTTTTATTTTAGTAGATATAGTACGGTATATCACTAGATTTTGATTCATAGAATCATAGTATTTCTCTAGGGAAAGGTATTTGAATTTGAGACCTGAAACATTCGGAGAAATATGTAACTAGACGAAATGTAAGTTCAATACATAAAATCATATGAATTAGAGGTTTTAACTCTTCTTGGGATCTTGCCAAACTTACGGAATACTTGAGCCAAACCAATATTTATTGAGTACAAGATATTGTTAGATATATCATCTTTTATATATTACATTTATATACCAACTTATGTGACAGTTGATGTGGTGGTTCATGTTATCTACCACATCATAAACTCGTTTTCATTAAGTTTAAATGAACGATCCAATTGTATCGTTTCAAATATTAAAAGAAGAAACTTGAATCCAAGAAGCTGATACATTATTTATGCTAACTGTTCTAAACCAACACCTTTGCCTCCTTTAAAATTTGAACACGACTTATAATATATATGTTCTAAAAACAACAAAACATATATACAGCCGTTTTCACATCCTCTCTCAGAAAAAGCCCATACAATATGTGAGTATCTTGTCAAAAGAAAGATGGTTTAGAAGTCGAGAAAATTATAATGATAACAAAGTAATTAATTAGCCGTTTTATAACCGTTAATCAACTTGGATCCATAAACTCAACCCTCAAAGTGTAAATAAAATTTTAAAACCGTGGGGAAAGTATGGAAGATGACTCATCCACCCGCTAAAGTGTTTCAATTTCAAGTTCCCAAATTAAGGGGTGCAATAAGTCGACAAGCATGTGGCAAAGTGTTGGAATGTCGACTACGTGTTGCCTTCCGATTCGTGGAATCCAAATTCAACAAGTGGCAGCCGCGAAAAGGAAAATGAATATGCTAAATTGCGAAACCAGCACGCAGATTTACACAACCAGCTTTGACTTTAGATTAGTTGTTAATCTTCTTTCTTTTTCTTAATCCAGTTAATATTTAATTAAACATTTACTTAAACCCTTGTTTAATGCAAAAACCTCATTATATAAAATATTGACGAGATTCAAAGGATTAAATATCAATCATCTAATTCATAACGGTGGATTCAGAAAATTTTTCTTCTTTAAAGTAAGATGAAGTTCACACACTACTTTTACAAATTGCTCTTGACTCCCTACCTTGCCTCGGCCTCTTAGAGGCATTTAGTTAAACCGTTTGAGCCATACTCAAAGGATACCATGAAATGAATATTGGACCACTTCATGTATAAGAATAGTGGGAAGTGAGAGCATTTGCATGCTTGGTTTTGATGCATAATTAATGTGTTAAATATATATATATAATTTTTTTACAATCGATATAATCTACACTAAGGGGAGAAAGGTGTGCTTAGCCTCACAATAGGCTAGCAATAATGTAGTTTAAATTCGCCTTTGACGATAATCAAACCTAAGATCTCTCACTTACCAATGAAGAATGAAGAGAAATAATACTAGACTGTAATACTAAGTGGCAAATAATATGAACTATTCATAATTTCTTAGTCATTGTTCATCTATCTTTTGTTCGTCATGGCCTCTTTCCCCTCTTCCTCTACTCCAAATCCCAGCGTCACGAACTTCGTCAAACTATCCGATTCTAACTATAATGAATGTGATGTTATGTTATAATTTATATAATCAATGTACGTGGTTTCAAAGAAGTAATTGGGGATTGGTGCCTAATCATGTGAGGGTCACATGCTGGATTTTGAGCTTTCAACCTATTCATGTGCAATTGTACATGCATGAGTTGTATTAAGAACAAAACACAGCCATTAAGTTTGTGTTTTTTCCTCTTTGGTTTTTAATAATAGCATCTTAATTTGGGGTTAATAGTGTTTTTTTTCATTGTAATATGGACTTTAATCAAACACCAATTTGAAGTTCATAAGAGGCCCATTGGAGAGAGTCTCGGCCACAACTTAGATAGAATACCCAACCCAATAACCTCACTTTCACTATTCAGCTTTCAGCCCAAATGTGAAGTACTTTTCAATTTATTCATTTTCCAGCTGAAAACATCAATAAAAATAAGGGTTTTTATCATAAATAATCTCTGAAATTGAGCCTCATCATCAAGGTGGTCCCTGAAATTGAAAATTAATCAATGCAATCTCTAAAAATAGGTGTCACAAATCAAAGTGGTTATTCTATCACAATTCAGATAAAAATTCTGTTAAGTGCTAATGTGGCATATAAATGGATCTCATAAGTCATTTTTCTCACAAATGGTCCTTGAAATTGACCCGCGACATCAAAATGGTCCATGAAATTGACCCGCGACATTAAAATGGTCCCTAAAATTGAAAATCGATCAATGTAGTCTCGCAAGTAAGTGTCCTAAATCAATGTAGTCATTCCGTCAATATTCTATCAAAACTCTGTTATGTGTTGGTGTGACACATAAATAGGTCAAACAAGTCTAAGTAAATTTGAAAAAAAAATTTACAAATAGGTTTAATAATTTAATAGTTAATAAAAAGTTGTCAACCTAAAAATGTCATGCAGTCACCTCTGATCTCAGTCCACATTCCTCTACCTCCTTCATTGTCCATTCTCTAAAAAAATATATCTCAATACACCCATCTTTACACACTTCGACACACTTCACCGAATTGAACCTAGATCGACATCACCTTTGATGACAGCTTGGCTGATTAATAACGACTTCTGGACTATAACCGTTAACATTTAAGCGATCAACATCCTCACAACCTTAATCTTGGAGAGCTTGTTCGGCGCTTCCCTAGTGGTCTGATGACTCAAAGAACAGTGAGGTTTGTGTTATGATAATGAGGTTATAACCGAGGTGCATCTATTGTTGGTTGAAAACTATTTCCAAACCCCCTCTTAGACCTTGGTGAAGCCTTGTGCTTTTGAAAATTTATGGAATGGATCTCTCTTCAGAGTAGGCGCTACTATAAGAAAAAAAAATTTCATTGTGGCAAAAAGATTATATTGATTTGCGACACCTATTTTCAAGGACTACATTCATCGATTTTCAATTTCAAAGACCATCTTGATAGTGTGTGTTAATTTCAGAGACCATTTGTGATAAAAACTCGTGAATCTTGTGGGGCCTATTTATGTGCCACATCAGCACTTAACGGAATTTTTAACAGAATTGTGACAGAAAGATCACATTGATTTGTAACATCTATTTTCAGGGACTATATTGATTGGTTTTCAATTTCAAGATCCATCTTGATGATGAGAGTCAATTTCAAGAACCATTTGTGATAAAAATCCTAAAAATAAATATCAGCGAAGCCTAGGACATTTTGGGATGGATACAGATCGGTTTGATTCGGTTTTTTTTTTTTTTTTGAAAAAATGCAACTTTTAATTTTCACACCTTTTTGCAGACGCGGTAAGGATAATATTCTAAGTCATTTAGAAACAGTAATACCATTTATTGAGTCAAATGAGTAGTTTTTATTGAATTTTTAACTTGAAAGCTAAAAACTACTAGCAGACAGCCCACCCCTTTCCTCTAACTTTTAGATTGAATAAATCAAATAAAAATCAAGAGACAAACAAACAGAAGCGTACGCAAGAAGAAAATGAGTGTTCGACAATCATCTCCCACCGAAAAACTAGGGCTTCTAGTTTGAGAAATAAAAGAAAAAATTGATGAAGCAAAGAATGCAATACAAAAGAAGGTCATTATTCATTAAGACACCAATCCTCCTACTAAACGATCTAAATGTGAACCAATGAATAAATTTTGCCATATCTAACCAGAAAAGTGACAAAAATATAGTCTTCTTGTCTTTTGCCCTGTTTAACCAAGGCAATTAACCTGGTGTCAGTCTCCCACACAGCGAAAGTTTCCGAGTGGCACAAATCAATAAATTACAGGCAAAAACCACCATGGCCGGGCAAAGCATGACGAGAGAGACTATTAGGGCGGGGAGAGAGAGAGAGAGAGAGAGAGAGAGAGAGAGAGAGAGCAAAAGAGAGAAGAGTACACAAGGGCTAATTACAAAGGGACTACATTTTTATCCTTTTTCCAAAGATGACAGATGGGAGGGAATATATATAGGATGAAGAAACATATATAAATCCGAGAAACATGAGCATGTTTCTACACAAGCAATGGGCACAGGCCGAAGGGACTGATGTAGTCCCAGCCACAACGAACCCAATGTTTTGCTATGCGCTTTCCCCTGGAAGATGACCCACAATCCCAAGATTGTTGGCGTATTTGGGCTTCCACTCAGTCCTTCCCCTCACAATCTCGGCCCCCTCCTCGAGTCGAAGCATGTGCTGGCACTCCACCCCGCCATTACTTCCCAGGTTGCCGATATCAGCACCTGAGACTGCAGTCAGCGACTGAAGCACACTGTCCCTCCCACACTCCCTCCTATACTCCAGAGTCAAAGAAGAGAGCTCATGACTCTCCAGAATTGGTAAGGGAGCACTCTGCATCAACCAAAATCGTCTTTCAGTTAAAAAAAATGATCATTATCCATCCAAAATCTCGATGTAACACACTGACTAATTACTTTCCGGCTTGGTATATAAGTTCAACTTAAACTCAGAATCTGCAAACGTACTGGTACAACTTTGACTAATGAAAAGAAAAAAAATTCACTGACAGAAGCCTACCTCGAGGATCCAGCCAATGTACTTCACGTTATTAACGTGCTGATTGACATCTAAATCACTCCACCTTGGCTACAAATAGAGGGGAAAAGAACATAAAAAGAAAATCCTTCATAGTGAGTAAGCAGCTAAAAGAAACGCATTAGAATTCAGTGCAAAGATGATAGACTTACAGTTAAACCAGAGTGAACAAAGTCCGCTGTTTTGTCGTCAAGTTTTGGCAGTTTCCTGCCATCTTCCTCCACAATAGGAGGAGAATTCATAAAAAAAGACTCTATTTCACCTCGAACTTCATCAGGCATCTTTGATAATCTCCTCGTCACTTTATTCATCATCACCCACACACTGCAAAAGCAACAGCGAAAACAATGGCCGTACCAATCCCAGTCAGTTACTCTTTAAAACACCATTTAATTGTGAAAGAGCGCTAAATTGTTAAATAATATAGAAAACACTTCTTAGATCTAACTGTAACCAAGGAAAAGGCATAACAATTACCTGGAGGCTTTTGTTAGAATTTGGCCAGTTTTCAAATCCTGGATTATCCAATCACGACGCATTCCATTCTTCCCAGAGGCACTAACCCAAGTGTCAACTTGAACAATGTCACCCCTGCAAGAAAGAAACTATTTGAGTCTATAACCATGATATTCCAATCAAATTAATGAAATAACAAATTCTCCCATTCAAGGATAAATATGGTCATCTGCTAAAACAGATGGTATACAACTTGTCAATTTAACCTAGTTGGGCATAGAAATGGTGTATTAGTGCAACTTAATTATGTTCCCAAAATCGTCGATACTTTAACACTCATTCTTGTATTGGGAATTTGAATAGTTAGCTTCTGCCTCTAGCATCTTCCTCTTCTAAAACCAAAAATCAACTTGCCAGAATCGGAATGCAAATGGATATGAATACATCAATAGGCTCATAATACACAATCTTTGTGCCAAAAATCATTACAACATACAAAGACGAGAGAAAATAGGTAGCCTTCAGACGTTGAATGCACAGTGAAGAGAAAAGAAGAATATTAATAGAAATTAGCTCCACATATCTACTAATAACATTTTGAATGAGTGTGATAAATTAATAATGCATCAACAGCGTGCTTGTGCTTTTTACGAATACCAAATTGAATAGTAACCTTTGAAGTGTCCCCACCGCTATTCAAGCTAATCTTAAAATTGTATAGAATTCATACAATACATAATAGCATGGCAGCACCAATAAAAATTCCAAAATATTGTTTAGTTATTAGAGTCAAAATCCATAAATGAACAAGTGACCAGGCAAAATAAAACTTGAATGACATATCTGGTAAAAGAGCAAAATGCATGTGTGATGTTTTGACTTACCAAGTAGGATAGCGGTCTACCACAACCTGCATTTTCGTTACCACCCATATCAGGTTTCTTACAGTCATCTCTGGAGTTGAACCAAAGCCATCTCCCAGAAGCCCAGCAGTCTTAACATGATTAAGTGCTGTTTCCTGCAGCCCGAAAAGAAAAGTAGTTAATGACAAAGCCAGTCAAGAAAAAATGCACTCAACCTCAAGAACGTGAAACCAGTCACAGAACATGCATTTTGTGCTTTAATCTCTTTAGCTACAAACTGAATTTGAATTTGTCAAAAACTATAAACAGAGAAATTGAATTTGTCAAAAACCTGTAAATGATTCATTAACGTCTCTATTGAAGCCGTACGATCAGCACCTATTTCATATGATCTAATTGAGAAGTTCTGGCGAAAGACAAGACCATCCTGAACAATTCGTCCTAGACCAAATGGGTCAATGAGCATGTCAGGCCGCTTGGGTTTCCAATCAAGCATCGTCCATTGCTTCTCTGCAGCCAAGAAGATTGTGGTAATAGCAGCAAGGAGCACACTCCAGTCAGGTAATTGGTTAATGAAAGTCCGTGCAGGAGGGGATGAGATGTCATCCCCATGCTTCCCACTTTCCACAGTTGCCAAACCAACGCTAGTTCCATTTATCTTTGGAGGGGCTTGAGCATTTACCTTTACCTGCAAACCACCTGATGCAGATTTCGATTTGAGTCCTAAATTGGCTGACCCAAGCTTGGCGTTCTTGGCGCTAGAGCCTGAGTTGGGAGAAGAAACCGGAAAGAATGACGAAGTAGCAGCAGTGGCAACCATGATGACAATTGGATCAGAGCAAAGAGTCACCGATCAAAGCACTGTAACAGTAAAATTCCAAATTTGTCAATGTAGTTTCACAAGGGAATACAAAAATAATGAAATCTTCAGAAATACGCTCAGAATGCCAGCATGTTACTACTGCAGTGCAGAACACCATCGACATAAGAACACCGAAGTTAACGTAATTACAACAAAAACTGAGAACAATTTCCTTCCTTGACAAATTAGGCCAAAAACATCACCTGATTCTGTTTCCAGAATGCAACGAAAAATACAAAAGAATTTGTGCTGTGCACTTATCCATTTTTGGTTTGTTTGTTAGGGAAAAGCAGTCTAGAAGACAACCCAATTTTTTCAGAAACATAAAAAAGACTCTACATTCACAATTTGAAAAACATATTCTCCCTTACAGAACCGAAAAACCAAGGAACGAAAAATAAAAAATATTCTAACCCCATAAGATATTAGCAATTAAATTTTCAGCATACGTTTCAATCATCAATGATTGAGTATTACCCAAAACGAAAACACGAAAAATTAACCTAAACTTATGGAGAAAAAAAAGAGGATAAGTAGCTCAAATTATAAAACTTAATCAGAAATTAATCCGTCTCCAAAAAATATAATTTAGAAAGCACAATGATTGATACAGCTAATGCCCACAAAATTGAAGACTTTAGGAATATATGCAGAGAAAATCAAGGCAGATCTGAGCTTTTGCATCAACACACATCCAGTGAGAAATGACACAAACATTTCATATGCCATACAAATGTTTCACAACACGAAAATAGAACCATTTTTCCACTTCGTTTCTTCAAGCAAACAAATTTTCTTCCTTGTCTGTTTGGTTGCCGAGAAAATGCAGAAACGAAAAGAAAAATAATCAAAATTTCAAAACATTTTCATGTAGATCTCCGTTTTTAACGGCCGGAGATAACACCTCCCCCTCAAACCAAACGAAAAAACAGAAATAAACGCAGCAACAAACAACATCCACATTCATTCATTCTGTCTTACCTCAACTGTCTCGGCAACCAAACAGACGCCTCCGGAAAAAATTGAAAGGCTTTCTGGACCTCCTTCTGCCCTCACTTCAACCAAACAAACTCGAATCTAGAGCACAGGGAAGGGCAATTGCGTCATTCCGGATCGTCGAAACCTCTATTTCAGCGTAATTTCTAGGGTTTCCGATTCTCCTTCGTTGGCGGTGGTGGCGTTTCTTTTAGCTTTTGAGAGAGAAAGTGTAGAGCGAGAGAGAGAGAGGAGGGGGATTTTAGGGCCAGCGGTTTTGTGGGTGGTGGGGAACTGGCTTCCAGCGAGGGACTTTAATATATAGTATCCACCTGGCTCTGATTAATCCCGCCTCATGCCAGTTCAACTTCCAAACTTCTTCCCCCAACAACGCTAATTTTCTCCTTTTTATTTACGTCTTTGCCCCTCCCTCCCACCCTTTTTTGGTTTTTTACTTTTGTTTTTGTTAATCGAATTTATTAATTTGCCAACAATTATTGTTGAGTTCGTTTTTGGTTCATCATAATTGTTGTGTCACTGTTATTTGGGGGGGCCAACATTAATATTGTTGGGTTGAGAGCCACCTCTTAAATTTACCAAATTGCACGAATTATCGTTATGATGAGATTTTATGTGAACGTCAGACTTATAAGAATAAAATAAACTCTTGATGATATGCTCGTGGTATCCTTACTATGCATTTAAAGTACAAATTTCTTTTATAGATAAGATAAATTGAAAGTAAAATATTACTTATAAGGCCAGATAAACTTTAATGTCTTAAAATGGCATTTTCACTCTCGCATTTGAAACGTAGATAAATGACGTGTTCGTGAAAGATAACAATTGCAATTCTCTTATTACTTTTTGAAATGCTTCACTTTTACAATAATCGTATAGGAAATAATGGATGCATTAGGTGGTGCTATCTATACACCCATCTTATCTTACATATCTTTCTTAATTTTTGGCTATCAGATTAAATGATATGAAGAAAATCAATGAACAAATTTTAACAAAAATATGTAAAAAGTAAAAAATGATGTGTTAATAGCACTACCCACACATTATTGAGTAGTTTAATATCACCATCACTTTTGTTTAAAATTTGTAACATGTCTTTTTTTCAAGGGTGTAAAAAGAGCAATTTGGTCCCTCCCCTCGAATTCATAATTTGAAACGATAGCCGTCCTTTCACAGTAGAACAACGTTAAACTTGTATGACCAGCCATCTTGTAACTTCCAAAAGTTAACGAGAACATGATCATCATCATAGCCTTGTAGTATAATATTTTTTTATTAAAAAAAAATAAAAAATAAACACTCAGAATTTGTATTTTGGATTATATATTGGTTGAACTACGTATTAGGTCGATGTCAAATTTGAACACTACATCCATGATATCCATCTCCGAAATTGATGGTAGTAGCTCAACCATCAATTGTTTACTAAATTAACACTTGAATTGCCTCCTCAATTTGCCCTTGACCTCCTCGTTTGGTGTGCTAAATGGGAAATGTTGTGATCAATTAAAATGGACTTAAGTTCAATCTGTTGTTTGTAATGTCAAAATGTGAGATGGACATGACTTGACATGATGAGTTATAAATCCACAATAAAGTGAGTTATCTAACTTATTCTTATACGTGAGTTACAAGTGATGTCATACAAGTTTATGCCAATCCAACACTATCCGTAAGGCCCAATCTCTTCAAGCCTACCAAGCGTGCCTCGAAAGTATTGTAAACCAAAGGAATTACATTCACTCTGAAATATGTATATGTGTGTGCGCGCGCGCATATATATATATATATATATATATATATATATATATAAACATGATTTTGACTTGTGATGTGATTATATGTGTCATGTTATTTGAGGTCTTCATAAACCAGTTTAGTTCAAAAAGTAGACCATTTTAATTCTTCCATCGGCCATCCTCCATCAGCCATCCCCTTAACCCAACCACATGACCTTTTTATTTTATTTTGTCATCCTGTCGATAAACTTCAATTTAAAATATGTGTATTGTTGAAAAAAGTTGATGTATTTACGTTTGACAAGCTCAATGAACTTTTCTCGTTGGCTCAAGTTTGACTCTCCAATCTTATTGGCTCTCATTACTTTTTCATGCAACCATATTCTTCAAGAAAGTCGGTTTAAACAAGTTAATCTGGCTCAATATAGCCATATTTGTGACATAGAACTTGATCACAAGAAAACAACTCTTGATTCAACTATAACTTTAGTCATTTAAATTTGAATTCAAGGTTTCTTTCCGATAAGATGGAGCGATTCTATGCACATATGTCACTAAACTAAATGTTCATCCAGTATGCGTGCATGTTGAATAACTTTTAGGCTGCGGGGTTGGCTCTAAGAGCACTTCCAGCGTGTGCTCTACCCCGAGGGACAGGCCTGCGAACAGTGGCAGAGAGCCCGAGCAACCAAGTCCAACGTGTGTTGGCGATGGAGCCCAAGCGGGCCCAAAGGAGAGGCCCTAGCATGAGTTGCCAACCCGAGAGCCTGAAGGCAACGTGACGTGGGCTGACGTCAGCCATAATATAAAATTAATAAAAATATAAAATATTAATAATAAAAAAAGGTAAATTAAAAAAAAAATTAAAAAAATGTAAAACCCAGGCTTCGAACTCAACAGCTCTCGCCGGAGTTCGTCGCCAAGGTTGATGAACACCCACAGACAAATGGCAGAGATCCTCCTCCGCTGCAACTGCCGCCGCACCCCACACCGCCTTTGCCCCCACGCACTCGCGATCCTCCTCCTTCCACTGGCACGCCCAGATCGCACGATTTGGGATTTGTTTTTGGGGGAAAGAGGAGAGAGAGAGAGAGAGAGTTTGGTTAGGGAGCAGGGAAGATCGGGACCATTGATGGAGGCTGAGGTGGGTGAGATGGTGAAGATGGAGGAAGAGAGGCGGCGGTGGGGTGGTGAAGATGGAGGAAGAGAGACGAGGAAGGTTTGGGTGCGTTGGGGGGGGGACACGGGTTGAAAATCTGGGTGTGGGTTGAAAATCAAGTGAGAAAGAGATGCTGAACTTGAAAAAGAAAGAAAGAAAAACACACAAAATCGTGCGTTGGCACCATGTGAAAAGAAGAAGAAAAAAAAAAAAAAGGTTTTGGAATGGCGCATCGATACCATGTGAAAATAACAAAGGTTTTGCACCATGTGAAAAGAAAAAATTAAAAAAATAAAAATAAATTTTTAATAGAAAGTGGTACAACGAGACCGATTAAAAATCTCATCCGAAATTACAAATAAAATGATTTTGTATTATTTAAAATAATAATAATAATAATAATAATAATAATATTTTATTACCTATTGTCAGGGCTATTCAAGTGCAACGGTGGAGATGCAAAATGCGGTTACTATTCATTAAGGGGAGTTACTGTTTATTGGGTGGATTAAATAGTGAATAGCCCTAGTGAGCTTTTAGAGTGGGGTCCTAGAGTTTTCTGACTCTGGCTCTTTTTACATTGATATGTATATAAAAAAAAATCGCTAAATACATGAAAAATCTATTTCTACATAAAAATCATTAAAAAATTAATATCAAAAGAAGAAAGATACACAAACATTACTTAAATCTTATATGTCTCATGTTTTTAGATGCAAATGTACTAATTAAGTTTACATAATCTAATTTTTCAACCAATTATTTTTCAATTGATAAAATAGTTAACCCATTCTACCTTTTTGATGACATAATTAATCGAAGATAAAATTTGATCAACTTTAATTTTGAAAAACTTCTTTCTGCAGAAGCAACTGTAACTTGTATGGTTAACAAAATTTTATAAGCAACCCTTGCATTCGGAAAACAGCCATCCATCTGTCTAGATAGTTCAACACTTTCATTACCCAATTTATTTCATTCAGTAAAGTTTCTCTCAATATTCTTAGCCCAATAAATAAGTCTTACAAACGTTGGGTTTAGCAACTCAACCCAATGGACTATTGTATTTAGACAAAAACTCAAAGTTCGTAAACTTCTTATTTGAACAGACACAAAATTTGTAATATTGATTTATATAATATATATATATATAATAAAATAAAATTAGGGGCCCTTCAAAGTGAAGGCGAGTGGAGGCCCTAGGCGACTAACCTACTCCAAGCACCCTCAGATGACATTGAGATAGTAAATCAAGTGGTGTTACCACTTATCAATCCACCTATGTGAAAGCGCATATATCTATCTTTTGATGCTATACATTACGACTATAGTATAACAATACCATAAACACAAGAATTAGCAACATCGAATGAAATGTACAACATTGAAACTAAAACATTTCTTTTTTACATTATGAACTTAGGTGTAACGATCGATTCCTTGTGCTTGTGTTGTGAATTTTTTTTTTTTTTTTTGTCAAACAATAGATTTTGTTAAATTAAGTGTTATAGTAACCACTAACGGAATTTGAATCTACGTCTTCATGTAAAGACTCAACATCTTTTTATTGTATATATTTGTAAACTTATTTGTGCGTTTTGAAAAGTAAAAAAAAAGAAGCTAATTACACGGGTAAACTACATATATATATATATATATATATGTTGTATTTTCTGCGTTCGTTTTTCGCCGTGAGCGGTAAGACGTTTCCTTGTTTGTAGACTGTGACTTGTGCGAAGCTAGTAAAACCTAGCCGTTTCTTTTCCGCAAGCCAAGGGCGGAGAAAACAAGAGTGTCGACGTGCAACGGACGTGTTGTTAGTGGCAATTTTGTGAACATTAGTGCATGGAAAGGGTAGCTTGGTCAACTCAAAAACAGTTAGCTAGCCGTTACCAAGCGTTTTTAATTCGTTAACTTTCCTCCTCCTTCTTTTTTGTGGTCCCCATCCGTTCACGTTCACAACCTGGCAACCAGCAATTAGGGCTTTCATTTGATAATTACGATAGTGTTTGTAAGACTATTTTACCGAACAATTATAGAGGAAATAAGGAGTGGGGATTCGCGGGAGAGAGAAATTTAATTGTGAGATGTACATTATTTTACCTACTGTGTCTTTATTTATGATGGTAAAAAAATAAAAGATAATATATAATCCTATATTTCTTACCACATTATCACTCTAATAGGATAATACATAATCATAGAAATATGATATAATCTAATAAAGATCTCAAATACTTTAGGATTTACACGATTATATTCCTATATTAAATATGACTGCAACACTCCCTTGAGTGTGTAAATCTTCAAACAAAACATCACATCAGGTCTTCAGTGGATGAAGTAGATTAGTTGACGAAGTTGTGGCACAACAGGCAAAGGCGAGTCTCAAATTAAAGAA